GTCTCCTTTGTCCAGCCCTCCAGCCTCCATACAGCCCAGGCACAGGGTGGGTGTGCCATCTAGTGGCTGATGGGTGATTCTGTACCCTCCTCACATGCTACCCCCTAGGTGGGACTTTTTTTTTTTTTTAAGATTTATTTATTTATGCATACAAGAACTGGGGTACAGGCCAGAAGTGCAGGGGACTGGTGAGAGGATTCACCAGAGTGGGGAACAGAACAGGCAGACTGACGAAATACACTGCTGAGGGGAGCAGCGGGCGAGACAGGAGAGGTCTGCTGCACCACGTGGGTAGCTCCCTGCCTAGCTGGGGATCTAACTTGTGCTGCAGTGACTGAGGATAGCTTCACAGTGCTGTGCTTAACCCCTTGCGCCACCAGGGAGGCCAGTGAGAACATAGAGGGGCTGGAGTTAAGACTGGGGTTAAGTCTGGAGCATTAGTGAATTTTACAGGCCTGGCAGGACAGGGAAGTGATGACAAGTTGAACCAGATGCGAGTCGTGTATTTTAGGAGCTGATCCTTTCACATCCAGGGAGAGAGATGCAAGGGTCTGGGGGCTCCCTTTGTCCAGCAGTCCTGCCGTGGGCCAGAGCAGGAGATGTTTCGCTTTGACTGTCATGAACCCCTAATGGCAAATGAAAGAGGGGACAAGTCCCTGAGGGCTCCTGCCTCAAGCAGGGCTCACTTTAACAACTGTGAACAGAACGTGCTAGAAAAAGATAACTTTTCTCAGGTTTTATTGTAAAATCCTCAGAAAAAGCATTTACAATGACATTACTTTATGACCATTTGCGAATCATCTTTATATCAAGTGGTACTGCAAATACACGGTGTGTCCGATACGGGGGAACAGGGCAAATTAAACACAAACTCATCCCAAATGCCACATACAGTTACTGTGTTGGTACAAATTTCTACTAAAGTTGATGTATTAAAAATAATTTATATATATTTTATAAATAAGGAAAAATTCACATGTATAGTAATTACAGGAGGCCTTTTTGAGAAATACCAGTGATTACAGAAAATATATTTTGGAGTCCACTCAACTGCTCAAAATAATGTACTCTGCCTTGACATGAAGAGATCCAAGAGTTTTCTGAGGGGGGGTGGTGAGACTCTGAACCGGACAAGTGGGGTGTGTGGCTTCCTGCCTTGAGGGTCGATCAGCTGTGCCGCAGCATGAAGCCGCGGAGCGCGCCAGCCAACCTCCACGCCCGCTGCCGCCGCGGGGTCGTCTCGCGTGCCTCAGGGAGCCCGAGTGGTTCGGGGCATGGAGGTGGGACCGGTCAGGCCAGGCCAGGCCGGGGAGGGGTGGGGGCTGGCCAGCTACAGTGAGGGTGCGGCTGGGGGGGCACCGAAGGGTGTGCGGTGGGTCTGGGGTGGGCGGCTCGCAGACCTGTTGCCCCTCACTCTCTACAGCAGCTGCAGTAGCAAGAGAACGGCCACTCTCGGGCGCACGGCAGGTGTCTCGCCGGGAAGTGGATCAGGGTTTAGATTTGGGGTGTGTTCTCGTTTGAGATGTAGCTCTTGGGCCCCCGAGCCAGCCAATCCTGGGTGCCCCTCCTCGGAAACAAAGCTCTGGTCCTGGAGAGGCTCCCTTAGGTTAGATGCTCACGTCCCGCCATGGTGATGGGGAGGCCCCGGCGTCACCAGGTCTGGGGTGGGGGGCAGCACTGTTATTGCTTTGTGGAGCGCAGCGAAAACCCCTAGCGCCCTGCAGGGCAAGCTCCATGTTCTCCGGGGCCACAGCGGGGAACGGCTGGTCCCTTACTAGTCAAGGGGACTTGGAAGGAGTGATGTGTGATTTGTGGCTTTGTCCCCCACCCCCCAAAAAAAAAAATCCATGTGAAACGCTCTGGTGCAGGCTACAAAAGCCTCATTGTGAATTCTGGGGGACAATCCCTGCTCTCCTGTGTTTTCCACACTACATCGTGTTTGGTTAAAGTCCCACTGCTGCCCACGGCTTGGAAGGATGCGTGGACCAGGCTCGCTGCACCCCGTGATCTGCGGGGTACCAAAGCCTGCAGGCCCTGACAAGATGCTCAGGTGCTCGGTGATGTGGCAAGTGATCTGGTATTGACAAAAGCAGGAAATGGGGTGCAATCCACCAGGTCCTTGGGGCCTTGTAGTCACAAGGCACCGTCCTCAGGGACAGGCATGCTCTGCTCCGCCCTTGACACTTTCAGGCACCTCTGGCCTGTGAGCTCTGATGGGGAGAGAAACCAAGGCAGCTGGTGACTTTCTTGAACAAAACTGCTTCGTCCACATGCCAGTCTGGGAGCAAAAAGGAGCATCCGGCTGCAGGAGCTTCGTCGTCCTTGACCCCGAGGCCCGGAGCAGCATGGCAGAGATCCTGGGGGCCGGCGTGGCGGTCAGCGCCGTTGCTCCTGGAGCGGCCGCTCAGCGAGGCTCCCGAGCAGATGGGAGGCGTGGCAGCGGGGAGGCAGGACAGGGGGGAAATGCAGGTGCAGGGAGACGGAGGAGGGACAGCTCGTGCCCTCTGTGGGCTGAGGCTCGGCTGAGGTGCCACGGGCTCTGCCCTGTCCCACCGTTCCTGCCCGACGGCTTCAGGGCTGAGTTCTCGCTTGTCGTGGTCACCTCGCGCCAGAGGATTGCGCTCCAGGCCTTGGGGCGTGTGACTCTGGGCAGCAAGGAGCCGCGTCCCAGCGCGCTCTGACGGCACTTCCGGGGAGCGGGTCCTGTGAGGAGACTGGCAGTCCGTGTCAGCTCAGTCGTCGCCCTGTGTCCCGTGCCTTGCCTCCTGGCACGGGGGCAGCGTGGGGGTGCTGGGTGTAGGGAGAATGTGAGGTAGATCAGTGGGCGGGGAGGAGGGAGCAGGGAGCACTGTGACTCTCTTGCAGGCTGGCTTCTGAAGCGGGGATGGGGGGGCAGGGTTCGGCATCCAGGGTGTTTGAATGAAACACATTATGAGAAATGAATCGACTACTTTTAAGCGCCTTGTAGAAAAATATATCCAGAATGCATCTGTTTCACATCTCAGTTCTGAAATCTCCTTAGTTCACAGGTTACTGGTCAACAGAAAACAAGAAGGTGTGGCCACACTGAGCTAACTTAGCTGCTCCCCTTGCTCAGCAGGGACATTTCTCTAGGGCAACAGGCAGGGTCTGCTTTATTCGGGGTTGACAGCTGTGCTCCAGGGTGCTCTCTGGAGCCGGGAGCCCTTTACAGCACGGTGGATCGGGCAGGGAGACCGGCCGATGGAGGTGGGAACTGCAGGGACAGAGCTGCTGTCTCTGGCCCGAGATTCCTGAAGCTGGTATTGGTGGTCTGTCCCCGCCAGGACCTCACTGGCCTCTCGCAGGGGCGTGGGGAGAGTCGTGGGGCCCTCCAGGGATTTGGAGATGAAGAAAGAGGTCTGGGCCCGCCCCAGTGAGGGCTTGCTGGATCAGGGATGGCATGGCGTGCTGCCCGCACAGTGACCCTGAAGCAGACAAATCCTCCTTCCCGCCACCAGTCTGTGTGAGGCTAGGTGGGATTTTGGACCCAGAACCTCCAGGTGGGAGGGGGAGGTCGAGCTGGCTTGGGCAGGAGGAGAATGAAGGCCTTCATGTCGCGTCCTTAACACCCCACGGGTGGTGATTAATTGTGATTATTCTGGGAAAAAAATCTGTTGAATTTTTGTGAAATTTACATTTCAAAATCCAGTCATTGTGAAATGGTGGGTCCTTGATGTTCGTGACTTTAGGGGTGATTCTGTCGATAAAAGGAATACTTGCTTAGAGTGAAGCCTCTGCTGCTGGTCGACCTTCTGTGTTTAGCCGCAGGACCCCCGCCTGATGAGGGGAGTCCTCACGTGGGCAGCTTCCCACGGGTTCCAGGAGCCTCTTTGGAGTGGAAGTCGGGGAGAGGGGCCGGCAGGGGCCACCGGGATTTCCTGGCCTCCCACTGCTGAAGAGCTCTGCCCTTCGGCCTTTGTGAATTCGCCTGATGGGACTGAGAGCTCTGACCTGGGCTTTTTTGGCCTTTGATTCCTGCTCCACTTCCACTGTGGCCGACAGGTGGGCACGAGACCTAAGCTGACCGTCTCCAGTAACTGTGCAGTGAGGACAACGAGAGGCAGCTCTGCTTTGCAGACACACTTAGAAATGGAAGGAAGAGTGGACAGGGATCAGGCACGGTGGAAGCGACTCCTGGGGGAGAAGGCTGCTGGGATGGGACGGGCCTTTTGCTCGGGAATCTGCCACCCAGGGGTCAGCCCGCCAGCCCTGTGCTTGCTGGGCCTTCCCTTACTTATGCTCAGGGACACTTTCTGCCAAAATTTAGAAGATTTATCCAAAGGGGGAGAGAGGTTCATGGAAGTCGGAGAATTTTTGTGATACAAGTTTGGGAGTAAATGTGTCAAGATACTGAGGTGGGAAGGAAGGGACAGGGAGAGCAGTGATAGCCCTCATCCCAGCTACCGTGGAACCCTAGGGTAGGCTTCTCAGGTCAGTTTCCTCAACTTTTCTCTACCTCTTTTACCTTAAAAAAGATAAAAAAAAACATGAATGTACACATCGAGGCACGCCCCTGGGAGTCTGGGGACAGGTGCTTGGCGGACATGAGGCACGCAGAGGGTGGCTGATCTCAGGAGGTGAGGGGCGGGGGGCTGTCGCGGGAGGGTGAACAGGAGCGATGTGGCGAGTGAGGCAGGGGCCGGGTCTCCTTTCCCTGGACGGGGTCACCCTTAGACAGCACAGGAAATCAGACTCTTGGGCTGGCGGAGAGGGAAGGCGCCCCTCTCCCCACGTGATCATTGGAGCCAGAAAGCACTGATGCGTCTGGGCCACTGATGTGACTGAGAGGAACAGGGGTGTTCCGAGTGCCCAGGGGAGCCCCAGGCCCTGGGAGACTCTCAGGCCCTGGCTGGCTGTGTAGGGCTGGTGGGTGGTCATTGGATGTTCACCTGCGAGCTGCCGACCGGCCCCGGCCCTCTGATCTGGGGTGCTGGAGCACATGTTGTTCGGGAGAGAGCGGCCTGGAAGTACTCTGTCCAGGCCGTGATGATGCGCGGGCTGGGGGGGCAGAGCCAAGTGCAAGGGCCACAGACAGAAAAGAAATTGGTCTTTCGTAGAGGGGTTCGTGTGTGGAGTCTGGAGGTCTTTGTCTGCAGGCTACCTACACATCGCCAGGCCAGTCAAGCCCAGTCTGCCCTGGCTGGGGTGCTGGGGCTGGCGGATGAAATGTCCCCTTGCAGTGGTGAAAAACAGGCACACAGGGTTTGTCCTGATATCTTGGGGTGTGGCCTGATCTGCACTTGGGGGTGTCGTGGTGCAGAGGACCATTATTCTTTGTGGGCCATTGTCTTCTTCCTGGCTGTGGGGTTCGGGGTGTGACTCAGAGCCCGGCCTAAGGCAGGGGGGAACACAGCTGGACCTCGGAGAGTGTCTTTCTGCTTACTAGCATTTGAGATCATAAAAAATTATTTTTTAATCAGTTTCCAAAATAAAGTGAGTGATTTCCCCATGCCCCAGGATGCAGGAAGCCTCGCTGGCTCTCCCTCAGGCTCACAACAAGTCCAATGGGAAAGAAAAGCAGCAGCTGCGAAGGAGAAAGGAGGCCCGGAGCAAGGGCAGAGGCGGTCCTCGGGCGGCGGGAGGCCCTGCCCCTGTTTTGCGCAGCTCCAGCGGGGGGACGTCGGGCTGGGCCTGGGGGTACGGGAGGGTGACGATGTGAAGGCAACCGGCAGAAGCGCCAGCCTGCAAAGCAGGGGTTCTTGGGCCACGGCGTCCCCGGGTGACATGGCGTGGAGCTGGCCGCGGCAGTGGCCCAGCTCGTGTGTTCTCCTCGTAGCGCGAGGCGTAAATCATACTTCCTAACGAAAAAACCCCGCTCTCGTCGGCAGCGCATACCTTATACGAGGAAACTTGCAAGGAGACCAGTGTTGAACCATAAAGCGAATACAGGTTTTTGCTTTTGTCCGTAAAAATGTACAGTGCGCCTGCTTGGGGCTGCGGTGTCGGGACTAGGTGCTCCTTGGCCCAGGGCTCTGCTCTGGACGCCTTCATACTTCGCCCACCCACACCGCCGTGGTCCCCCCCTTAATGCCTGCCACCTCACACCGCAGTGCGTTCTGCCTCCCGTTGATGAGGAACAGCGACTCCTGGGCTGGCGTGAGCAGGTACTGCCCGAACAGCCCGCTGTCCCTCACCATCCTGCGGGGGCCGCCCCAGGGCTGGCCCGGCCCCACGGGCGGCTCCTTCAAGTTCTTGAGCACACCCGTCTTCCCCGTGGACAGCTCCAGGAAGAGCAGGTCGGGAGCCGTCTGCAGGGTGGCGTAGACGTAGTACTGGTTGCCGTCAGTGAAGGAGTGCTGGAAAGCCACGTCCGAGACGCCCTGGCTTATTTCCAGGACGTGGAGGGTCTGGATCTCCCCCCGCACGCTGATCTCCTGCACGTACAGCTGGGGGCTGGTGGCGGTGGCGCTGACCACGAAACGCCCATCTGGGGATGTGTGCGGGATGCCGGTGACATCACCGTTGGGGCCCACCACAGAGTCCGTGACGCTGTCGATGAGCAGCTGCGGGGTGCCGGGAGAGGGGCTGTCTTGGCGGCACTGGACGAAGTAGTAGCCGCCCAGGTGGGTGTGGGCCATGGCCTGGGGCACGCAGCTGTGGCGCTGCAGGCCAATGGTCTTGACTGGCATCAAGGTTTCCAGGTCGACTTTGTGAACAGCAGGGTCGGACTTGTTAAAGACGAAGCCAAACCTGGGAGGGGAAGAACTGAGGTCAGAGGTCAGGGCAGCGGCTCTGTGGCCTGTCTTTAATGTTTACGCGTTTTTCTTTCCCTTTCTTGCCACCTCTGAAGGATAATAGCCTATTACTATCTACCTTCCTGCAGGGGCTGCTTCCTAAGGGATTCATCTATGATCTCAAGCTACCTGTGGTCGAGTTACAAATACTCTTTAGTACCTTCAAAGCTCCAGGTTCCTCCTGGGGTGCCTGTGAGGCTCTTCCCTCCAGCCCGGTGCCAGCGTGGGCCTGCCTGAGCTGGAGGGAGAGGACGGAGGGCCCGCTGTGGATGCGACAGCAGAGCCTGCATCCTCGCTGTTTTCTGGGCGAAGTGAGATGATTTGAGGATGCAGATGTGGTGGAGTAGAAGACACGTCCTAGGGATGGTCCTTTACGCTGGGAGAGGGGTGTAGAGGGGTTGCCACTGGCCACACTTAGGGTGCTGGTGGGAGGACTCGGGCAGCGTGGCGGAGGCCCGTTAGCCTGGTTAGCCGCACGGGGCAGCCAGCTGCAGACCTGGGCCGGGTGCTTGCCTCGCTGCGCCTCTGCTATTCTAGGAAAGGTAATTCCTTCTGGGGGCTGCAGGGAAGGTTGACTCTACGAACGGGGTGGCTGCTCTTATCTGGGCTTTGTGTCTGCCCCTGTGTGGGCTGGCTGCAAGCTGCGGGAAGGCCTGATTGCGGACAGAACTTTCTTTGAGTGTGAGAGGTTCTGCCCAAATCCTTGGCTCCCAGCGGCCTTTGGCGCTATGTTCGCTTACAGAAAGAGTACAACCCCCTCTGCAGTTTTCACTTGAATAACTGCCTCAGAGTGGGGAAAATGCCCACTTGAAAGTGCCTGTCAGGCACCCTTACAGAGCTAGAGTGTGGGAAGAGCAGCAAAGAAACCTCCTTAAGAGGGAAATTTGATGTCCAGCCACACGCAGACAGTACGCGGCGTTTGCCTGACTCCTGGCGAACTCAGCGGCTTTAAGGGGTCTCTCTGTCTCGAACCACCTTCAAGGCTCTTCCCGGGCACCCTTGGGGGTGTGTGTGGGGTGTCATAAAGTGTTTATTTTCTTCCTTGGCTAAATGAGCGAGTCCTATTTTAACAAGTCCTGCATCGGCTGCATGCCATGGTGTGGACTCAAAAATGAGTCACTTCTTCGTGGAGAAAGGTGTTTGATGTCAGATGAAAGGAAGGCATAAGTGGTGCCAGAAGATATTTGGGTGTTGACTTTATAAAGGGCAGGCTGAGTCTCCTGACACTGATGACTTCCCAGAAAGCCTCAGGGGTTCTCTGAAATGACTAGCTGGCGAGTGGCCAGGCTGGGATGAGGTTAGCAGTTGAGGCCATGGCTATTGTTTCTAGGCTGTTCTTTTGGATGTTGGCAAACCAGGGAACCAGGGGGCCTTGAATCCTTTGGGCTTGCTACATGGCTGCTCTGGGGGCTCCTAGAGTAACCACGGGCTGCCCTTATTGGAGAATGAGGCCGAACGACCTGGCTTTAGTCCTACCCTGCCAATTCCCGGCTGTGGGATGACTTCTCTGAACCTCAGTTTCTTCATCTGTGAAACAGGGGTTGTGATCACCTCTTAATTTTTGTACCCAGCAAGGAGAATGTGCTCAATTCACCACTGTTGTTTCCTCCCTTTCTTTATGGCTTTAACCTTGAGGATGAGACTTGCTGACCTCGCCGGACTGCTAAGGGCATTAGGAATGGGGTGCCCCCATAACTCTAAAAGTTAAAGACTAGGGAAATGTCCCTCTGGGGTCCCCGGGTAGCCCAGGAAGGAGAGAGAGGAGGAGCAGTTCCCCCATCCCCCAGGGAAGCTGCCCCCGCAGGGCTGTGTGCAGCATGGAGCTGGTCTCACCTGACGTGGTTGATGATGAGGTTTGTCGGAGGAATGAAGAAATCCTCCACTCCTGCAAAGGGCGTGCGGAGGAGATGCTGGCCCTGGCCGGTGCTGGCTTCTGTGATCACCTAGAACACAGAGTGGGAGTCCTGTGGCACCCATCCCGGTGGGGGCCGCTCCCCGGGGCCAGGCGCGCACTCTGGTGGAGCCCCCAGCAGACAAGCTGCTTGCGAGCGGGATGGCAGACAAGCAGGGGAGGCCGGAGAGCACAGGGGTGTCCGCGGCAGGGAGCCTTTTGTGTGGGGGGGGAGCGGAGCGAGGACTTGCGTGTTCTCTGGGAAGGTCTCTAGAACTGAAACCTTGCTCCACTCAGTGGCCACCCCCCAAGGGAAACCCCACCTAGACCACCTTGGAAAGAAGACAGCACTTTTCCTATTGAAAATGTGAAATGGTGCAGTTATTCACGGCTTCGGTATTTTCCTTTGATGCCTGATGCCTGGGCCACTTTGTGGGAATCTCTGTGTACCCTGCGCACGGAGGCCTGCTCTGAGAGCTGGGCTGCCATGATTTATTAGAGAAACCCGGGGCCCTGCCGGGTGCCATCAGAAATGCTGGTCATGCCAGGCGCTGTCTCGCAATTAGAATGCTAGCGAGAGCTTCCGGCTTCTCCGAGGGGATTTGCTGTGAGAATGAAGAGTCAGGCCCTGTGTGTGTTGTACAAATTGGTAGTGACAGAGCGTGGCTGCCTCTGTTTCCCTGGAGGTGGCACTTTCTTCTCTGGTCATGGCGGGAGGTGACCGGGACCATTTCCTGGAGGGTGTCCCTGCGGTGTCTGGGGGGGGCCACGCTGAGCCGAGGACGGCCCAAGGCTACACAGGACGAGCGTGTGGTCCTGCTGGGAAGCCCCTGACTTCGACATACGCCCAACAATTTCCAAGTTCTGGGCCATTTCCACTCCGCAGGCCTTTTCCGAGTCACAGAGGCTTGTCTGCTCGGGGGAGTTTTGGCTTGAGGGCCTCAAGGACAAGCCCAGGCTCTCTGGGCAGGGAAGGAGACTGAACATGGAGGTGAGATGCTTTTCCTGGTCACGATACAGATTTCTGTAGCCTCCAGTGGGGTTCTGTGACTCGCACGGGGTGGTGCTCCGGACGCCGTCAACTGCGAAGAGCGGGGTTGCCTCCCAGCTTTGACTTTGATCGCAGAACAAACAGCACCTGGCCCGCCGCCTTGGGCAGGTTGGAGGTGTATGTCTTTGCGGGTACAGCTTCCCTCCAGGGGCCAGCAGGCAGCATGCCAGATTGGCATGATGCAGCCCATCTCGAGATCTAAATCTGTATGAGATTATTTTCCTGTGATTAAAAAAAAAAGGCCAAACGACACTTTCATGGCAAGTCCTGGAGAGAAAAGCTTAGAGAACTGGGTGTTCAGACAGCATCAGCACGAGGAAACTGCCGGATCTTAGAGCGTCTAGGGGGAAATGCCGGAGAATCCCAAGAAGCCACACCCTCGTCGCTTGGTATCAGGCTGTCACTTTAGCTTGTGCTAGAGAAGGCTGTGTGGAGCAGGATTCAAGAAGTTGTGAAAGGTTCAGCAAGTGGCAGCTGGGGGAAGGCCTGGGGGGGCGAGCCTCATTTCAGAACACCTTCTTCTTGTCACAGCGCAGATCTGAACCCGGCCCCCGAGTGTGGGGTGTTTAGGAACCCGGCTGTCACTGTGGATGTTTTGCAAACAGAAGCAATGCACAACATGGTGGCCAAGGTAAATCCTTACCCACAGCCGCGATATGGCCTTCGGGTAAGTTCTGAGAAGTCAGGCTGTTGGATCAAACCACACGGTTTTGTGGCTTTTGGTTCACATTTATTTCCACATGGCTCGCCACAAAGGCTGTGCCTGTTGACATTGGGGGGAGCACGTTTTCCAGGTACGGACTTCCTTCACCCTCACCGGCAGCGACGGGGGTAGGCATGTTCAATCTATTTCATTTTCTTGTCCTAGTGCATTTCTCAGACTTTCCAATTATGGTCTAATTCCTGGTATTAATGAAAATGCTTTTAGTGCCTGGTCATTGAGGCAGAATTCGCTCTTGGTTTCTGGGAAAGAGCCTGTGCTGTATTTAAGGAATCTCTTTCTATTCCTATTTTTCATTTTTTTTTCTTTTTTAAATTAAGAATGTCAGCTGCATTTGTCTTTTCAGCAAGTACCGAAAATGTCGTAGGCTTGTGTTCGGTGCTGTGGAGAATGTGGCCGATCACCTGAGATCGACTCTGTAGAGTTTATTCCCTGTCTCAACACTGGGACGCATCGATGCCCTTGACCCCGAATAGCATGTCTAGAATTTTCCTTCTGTTTTCATACGTGAAATTAGACTAGAGTTATTTTATATTACATTGAATCACATTTTGTAATTGCAACTAAACTGGCTCTTTAAAACAAAGCAACTCATACGTTGTCTCCCAGTGGTCTGGGATAACTCCTAACATGAAAGTTATATAGGTTATATAGATTATGGGATAACTCCGAGAATAGTAAAGTCCTATATACTGTTCTCTATCTTATTTGGAAGAGTGATGAAGCGCCTCTGCGGTAATTGCTCCGTTTCAAGTTTCGCTTAGGTCAATTTGGTTTCTCCCTACATTTCATAAGCAATCATTTTTTTTTTTTCTAAGTGTTAAAATTTGCCACCTCGGGGTTGCAGGATGGTATTTCATGATTCCTTTTGTCTTCCTGTCCCTGGAGTAATAGCACTTTGGTCAGGGACCAGGCTTGGGGAGGATTTATCTGTGTCTGGATTTAATGTTCATTTTGTATTGTTTCTATTAATTTTATTAATTCCTTCTCACCAGTCACTTTGTTCTTTTTAAATTTCTTTAAATATTAAAGCCTACAAATGCTCCCTTTGTAGACGCTGAGAATACAAATACTGAGCAGCTCTCCCTGTGTGCCATAGGTTTTCATGACAGATTTGTTATGATTTTCTTTTAATTCCTCCTTGGCTCTCAGCTAGCTAGGGGTGTTTTCTTCTTAGTCACATTTTAGTTATTTCTGGCCATCAGAGAATACGGCCTGTAACATCTGCTCTACAAAAGTTGTTAGTTTTCATGCCAATAAACTACCTGGTAGGTGATTTTCTATAGATGTATTAAATCCAATGTCCGTATTACAATTTTTTGATTTACTCATATTATTTGTTCTCTTTGGTATGGGCAACCTAAGTGCATTTTAAATCAGGTTCCCCTGGTATTTCAGCCATTATTGCTTTATGTATTTACTTCTCTCTCTTTACATTATTTAGTGTTTTTATTAAATTCCACCTTGTCTGATAACATTGCCACTCATGCCTGTCTTTTTGGCCTGTCACTATTGTCACCTCCTTCCTTATGCCAACAGGGTGACGTTTTTGAGTATTGTTACTCCCTGTTCGTTCCTCTGCTCTCTATTCTTACACTGAATTAGTTAATCTTCAATTACAGTCTGGGGTTGAATTTCTCTTTCAGTGTGTCTCACAATTCAGATCTCCCTACTGAGCACCAGCTGCACATGTCCAGCTAGCCTCTCCTCTCTACCCGTCCAGCCAGCCGTCTTGGCAGCGTAGACCTTCTCCAGGTGCGTGACTTAGGGTCACCTCTGGCCTGGGTCGTGATGTCTGTCTGGGCTCCTTAGGGTCTGCTCCTCGGGTGAGGCACCTCATGCCAGGCGCTCTCAGTCCTTGCGTATCCATACTTCCTTTGTGCTGGCAGGTGAACACTTCCCTGGCAGTGGGCTTCCTGGATTTCAGTTCATGAATACGGAGAGGATGCAGCTGTGACTCCCGCTCCGCCATCTATAGTTGCAGGGGACAAGTCCAATGCCAGTCTGATTTGTTCCTGTCCACGTAACTTGAACTTTCTGTCTTGGAACTTGTGAAGTTTTCCTTTATTCTTCAAGTTCTAACATTTTATCAGGAAGGGCAGCGATGTGTCATTTCTCATCAGTCTAGTCTGGGTCTTGTATGTCCTTTTTAATCTACATGATAAGGGTTTCATCTTGGAAACCTTATTCCAAATTTATTTAATGTCTGACTTCATTCCAACTCTTTTTAAACTTTTGTTGATTGAACTCCCAAGACTTCCGTCTCTTCTGTGAGTTGAGAGAGGTTTTCTTCCTTTTTATCTTCTGGGCTACAATTTGGGGTCCCAGTAGGAGACATGCATTTTTCAATGCATTTAGTGCAGTGTAAAATTAGGATATTTTCATTTTTAGTTATAGGAAAAAATTTTGGGTGGCCCCTGTCCATGAATCCCGAAGTGTTTTCTTAGAGCTGCCAGAGGGACCAACAAAAAGTTCTATTTTTTTCTGGGGTTGTACTGAGTGGCCTTTATTTTGGCTCCTAGACCCTGGCTTGTTTGCAGCTCCCTGAGGCCTGGATGATGGCATCTGTCGAGGGACTGGCATAGTCTCAGAGTGCAGGGCTGAGGTGCCTGCCATGACCCAGTGGTGCAGGGGTGAGTAGGCCGGTGGTCAGTCCCCAGAGGTGGCTTGTCTGGACACACATGTCCCTGGACTCCCTTGTCTCTGCAACAGGACGAACTTGGCTCATCTTCTCAGATGAGATTCTGAGAGTAGGGTTAACCCCTGACGCCCCCAGGCACTGTACGTAATGAGCTACATGCATCTGGACTGTTGAATCCTCTTCTGATTCCTTAATGAGCCAGGCACTTGCAGCACAGGGGTGCTGGTGACCTTCCCGGGCTGGTGGAGGGAAGACTTTCGCAGATCTCTGGGACCCTGGCTCCTCCCAGGAGGTAGTACAGAGCTGTGGCTAAAAGCGTGAGCTACAGCAGGTAGGTTTACTCTGTCGTCAAATCGGGAAAACATCCTGTCTCTTCGCACTTTCATTTATGGACATAACAGCTTCCTTCTTAGTCACTAATGCTGCTCTCCAGCCCAAGGTGAAGGCAGCCCGTCTCCCTTCTCCTGCCTGAACTCCAGGGCCTCCTCCCTGCTTGGCCCCAGCCCCACAATACCTGTCTCTCCTCTGCGTGTCGGGCCAGAAGCCACAGCTGCTTGGCATATCAGAATCTTCATCATGGTCAGTGTTACCGTCTGTAATAGCAGGTCTGCTGAGACCCTGGGGAATGTCGGTGAGGGGCTCTGCCCAAGGCTGTTATCTGCCTTTACTGACATATCCTGATGTGTGATCGGCCCCCAGGGCAGTGGGGGAGATTCTCCTCTGCTGCAGGGTGGGTGTCGGCCTGCACGCGCTCAACATACCTGCAGGCTGGGCTGGGACTTGTGCACGTCCCCCCAGCTCAGGACCCAGACTTGATCGTGCGACTTGTCATACGACAGCTTGGCGGGCAGAGGATCCACACCTATGGACTTGGAAAAAAATAGTGACAAGTTGGTCATCATTGCTAGAGAAGCTGGTGGTGGCTTCGGGCCACTCCTGGCCAGTGAGCCCGGCTGGGAAGCTGCGGCAGAAGCCTGCCTTCTGGGTTTGTCCTCAGGGGCATAAACACATGGTCGATATGTTGTCCACCTTCCTAAAAAGTTCCTGCCCTTGAAAGTCTGGAAAGACTGTATATGGAGTTGCCAAATCGTCCCCCTAACCCCCTTCCTGCTGAGTTCCTGTCTTTACCCTTGCGCTGAACTGCCCTAGCCCTTCCAGCAAATGAAGAGATCGCTTTGTCCTCCCCCTCTTACTTGACATCCCCGCAGGGTACCACACGGGCAACTCCTGTCTGGGAGCATTTTCTTGACTTGGCCACGCAGCTTCCTGGCTTCTGTTGCTTGGCCGCCGCCGGGTGCAGGCTGCCACCCCTGGCCTGTCTGGCTGCACCCTCTTGGGTGAGCTCACGCAACAGCCTGGCTTCACGTTACCCAGCAGACTCCGAGCAGTGCAGAACTCATTCCTCTGGGGCTCACCTCCACTCCGGCACTGAACGCTACACCTTCCCAGCCCTCCTCCCTGCTAGCACACATTTCCTCTTCATTCTTCACCACCTTTGAAGTCTCCTTTTTGCTTTCTTGTTCTAATTAAAACCTCTGATCCCCTGAAGCTTCGTGTGGAGGCCGTGTGTCGTCCCTCCCCCCAACTTCACAAGCCTGGGTCCTCTGTTCATTTCTCCAGCGGCTTCCTTTCATTCTCCAGAGGCTCCAGGGTCGGGCACTGTCTTCCGCGGCTCAGGGCTTCCTCATCCCCAGTCCTGAGCCCGCGGTGACACTGTACCGACTTCTCTTGTATTTTGTCTCTTCGAAAAATCTCCTCTGGACTACACCTCTCCCTCCAGCTACCCCAATTTCCTCCCTTCACAGCAATACTCCCCTAAAGATTGGACTGTCGTCATTCTTTCTACCCTTTGTTTCACCTTCCCCCATCATACTTCACGAGCTGAGCAGACTTGAGAGAGGAAGCAAAAGTTGGAACACAGTTTTCTACAGCCTCAGTGTGCTGAGAGCAGAGACCTGGAAAGGGAAAGTAACTGGGGAGTAGTCTAGGCTGTCAGCTAAGCATCCCATGGGGCTGCACCCCAGGACTAGGAGTGGTTCAAAGCCAGAAGAAGCCTTACAAAAGCCTCAACTCAGTCTTCAACTAAGTACTTAAAAGGGTTCACTTTCTACTCTTCTTTGACTGATACAGACCCACAGCAGCATAAAAAGATAATTAAGAATTTATTATGGTAAGAAATTCCACAAGTGAAATAAGCAATACCTGTAATTAAGAAATGAATAGCAGGGCTTCCCCGGTGGTGCAGCGCGTACAGCGCAGCGCTGTGAAGCTGTCCACAGCCTCTGCAGCGCGGTTCGATCCGCGGCCGGCCAGGGAGAAACCCACGTGGTGGGGCAGACCTCTCCTGCCTCGCCTGCTTTGGTCCGTCTGCCTGTTCTGCTCCCCGCTCTGTCTCTGGTGAATTCTCTCACCCTCCCGTGCCTCTGACTGTACCCGGTTCTTGTATAAATAAATCTTAAAAAAAAATAATAGATTTTGTTGAATCCCTGTTAGATACACCAGAAGATAGAGAACTAAGAGACAGGTTGGTAGAACATAACCAAATAGAGTTTAAAAAGGGGCCTCCCTGGTGGCCTAGGGGTTAAGTCTCAGCACTATCACTGCAAAGGCCTGATCCCTGGCTGGCCAGGGAGCTACCCACATGGCGCAACAGACCTCTCCTAAGTTGCCCACTGTTCCCCTCAGCAGTGTGTTTTAGTGAATCAGCCTGTTCTGCTCCCCACTCTGTCTCTGGTGAGTCCTCTCACCCCCCACACCTCTGGCCTACATCCCAGTTCTTCGATGAAAAAAAAAAAAAAAAAACAATTTAGAGTTTAAAAAGGATGGAAAGTAAGGAAAGAGACATGTAGGAATGGGATGGCCTAACTTTTTCCTTTTCTCTGTGAAATAGAGTTCCCAAAGATGAGTAAAGAGAGAATAAGACAGCAGAATAGATGTGATTTGAAGAAATTGCTGAGAATTTTCCAGTCCAGGGAAAGATTAAGAATCTCTGCAATCCCCCAGTCAGAACAAATGAAGACTACCATGCTCAGGTTCATCATAAAATAGAACATGAAAGTATCAAATATTCTGGGTAAAGGAGCAAGATTATTACACTAGATAAAAACCAGAACCCAATTACATGTGCTCTATAGAAGACTACCTTAAGGATATGAACACACAGATGTTGAAAGTAGGAGGATAAAGAAATGATAGTATGGAGCCCTTATCAAAATCTGATTTAGCTCAACTGTCCTAGTATTAGGCAAAAGTAGAATTTCAGGTGAGAAGCATTGCCAGAGACAAGATGGGGTACTTTGTAAGAATAAAGGAGTCTCCCCCTTACCTCCAAAGGTACTACAATCTTAAAGCAGAAATGGGTAGAACTCACACAGCAGCTGACAGACTAAGAGGACAGAAAAATCACGTAGAAGAGCCAAACAACAGAATGGAGGAATGTTCCACATGTAGGAGTATATCCACACAGTGACAGGTGCAGATGTCTACAATATCAGAATACACACTCTTACCAAAATTGATCAGAGGCTGGGTCATAAAGCAAGCTTCCAAGGCTTGAAATAATTCAGAGTGTGATCTCTGGCAAGGGAAATCAATAACAAAAAATAGCCAGAAAGTCTCTTTTTTTTTTTTTTTTGGCCAGGAAAATCCACAATCTTGGTTAAATCTAATTTTATCCCTAAAATAAGCCTGAACCTGGACAGCTGAGCATGCTGGGAAAAAGACTCCCGGCCTCCCTGGGCTCACTATAAATTTCCTGGACAATAGTAAAGTTAATGTCACATACAACTTTCACCCCTTGCCTTGGAGATGATTTTCCTTATTTTTTTCTTCCAATGAGAAAATGAAAGCAGGCAGAAGAGAAGCTTGATCCAAGTGGCACTCGTATCCCCCGTGCACCGGTGCCCCCACACCGCCCGCTCCTCCTGTTACAGAGGGAATATGCTTTTACATAAGGCTGCCTCTCTGTGTGTGCGCTGGGGTCCACCGACTCCCGCTCACCTCGGTGATGCACGAGGAAGGGAAGAATTGCAGCAGCGGCTTTTCCCCGCAGACAAACGGCGTGATGTTGCCTAAGCAAGTCGCCTTGGCTTGCTCTTGCGGCTTCTGCCTCACTGGTCTCCTTTCACCCACCGTTACAGCTCAGCTTGTCCACGTGGTTGTCTACAGTCACTAGCTCTACTTGCTCACCTCCTTTCTCTCTGGAATCCACCCCCTCGGGCTTGTAGTCGCCACCTGCTCCTGCCAAGCGGCCCATGCCCAAAGGTGAGCTCTCTGTCTCTGCGACATACGGGTGCTCCCAGTAGCAACCACCACCGTTGACCATTTTCCGGGCATCAGAAGTACCACCCTCTCCTGATGTTCTTCCTCCCTGCGTGGTCTCCTCACATCGTGTCTCTCCCTCCCGCCTTGCCCCCAGACACCTGTGCTCGCAGTGACCGCTCACCCAGCTAATCCGGGTAATCATTGCACATCCCGAGTCACTTGGGCGCAAGCTCACTTGTGCTGCACATGAGCCGACATTCGCGGGGTCTGGGCTCCTGGGCCGTTGTCCATCCTGCCACACCCAGGAAACGGCATCAGTTTAGCCTACAGCGTATTTTACTGTTTTTTATGCTGAGGTAAAACTTGATTCCTCTCTCAAACTTTACATGAACCAGCAGAAAAACTTTTGCGGTCCATGTTTAAAACATCAACAAGCTGATCACTCCTCTGCCTCTGCCGCTAGCGTCCTCATCCTCGGCTGGTTAGTTCTTCTGATCTCTTACCTTTTTTTTTTTTTAAAGATGTATTTATGTATGCACACAAGAGCTGGGGCACAGGCCAGAGGTGTGGGGGTGAGAGGATTCACCACAGACAGAGTGGAGAACAGAGCAGGCAGATTGACCGAAATGCACTGCTCAGGGGAGCAGCGGGCGAGTCAGGAGAGGTCTGCGCGCCATGTGGGTCACCGCCCTGGCCAGGGATTGAACCCGTGCTGCAGAGGTGCGGATAGCTTCATAGTGTGGTGCTTAACTTACCCTTGCGCCACCAGGGAGGCCCCTCTTCTAATCTCTTCTTAATTGGGCTGCTGCACCCTTCAGTCCTCCACCCCCCACCTTTGTTGGTGCTGACCTCCGAGCCTCATCCCTCTCCCCCAGCGCCTGCCTCACTGCAGCTGCTCTTCCCTTTGCTCCCATGGCCGGCCGACTCCCACTGGGCATTTAGCCCTCAGGCTCTGGTCACTGCCCGAGGAAGGGTCAATTCAAAATCCTTCTCTACTCCCTCCGTTCCCCGGACTAGAACTGCAGTTCAGATGTTTAGCTCGCCCACAGGAGTTTTCTCAGCACTTAATGAAGTCTCGGCCCAAGTGGGCAACACATGCTTGGTGAGTGACAGCGCACAAGTCACCTTGGCCCGACCACACCCTCCCGTGTCTGACCACCTTCCGCGGGCTCTGGGGAGTGTGCAGAAAGCAAAGACAGTGGTAGGCTGGACCCCAGAACCGGGAGTCTCCCCCACTCCTGTAGAGAGATGTACCTGGAGGACTTTCTGGGCTTGAACGTCGACCACGAGGACTCGGTTCAGCGCCGGCTGGGCTGCGTAGATGTACCTGTGCCGCACGTTCACCGCCGATGCCCACTGGCATGGCTGGGGGGCGTCTCCTTCCCCTCGAGGACAGATCTCTTCCTGCAAGGGAGACAGGCAGCCATAGAGCTTCCGCTGACCCTTTCTTCCTCTCGGCCTTGGGATCTGCAGCCCACACCATCTCCTGTGGGGTCCGGGTCTCTTTTACCTCCTTCCATGCTCAGCCTCTGTCTGCCACTGCAGCCCTCCGGTCAGCAGCCAGGTCCAGAATCTTCCTAGCTCCCTCCTCCCGCCCCCCCATCATTTCCAGCACTTCACCCTCCACCTGCTCCTTCTGGAACCCTCTCCCTCTGCTTTCATCCTCACCACAAAGCGGTGTTGCCACCCAGGCCATCGGGGGCTCTTGGTCTCTGACCCCAGCATCCTTTTCTGTGCCGGGAACTCCTGCGCGACACTGCTCCTCCGTCCCTCCGCCCACCCCGGTGGCTGCGCCTTCTCTTGCTCGGTCCTCATGAGTTTGCTGCCCTTAGAATGTTCAGGGCTCGCTCCTGGAGACTTTTCTTCTCTAAAATGCAACTTCCTTTGCTTATCTGAGCCACACCTTCGGCTTGAAATACAATCTCCGCGCGTACAGCTTCCGCAGTCAGAGCTGTGGTCAGCCTCTCCTGAGCGCTGGCTGGATCAGCCAAGTACTCCACGGTGGTTCCATGTTCCTCTCGCGCCTCTAAGGCCCCTTTCGACCCTCCGTTTCGCCTCCCAGTCTTGCTCATGCCATGCAAACATGGCAGCTCTGATATTTCACTTCCTTACACCAACTACTCTGTGGTCATCGCTCACTCCTTTTTCTCCCAGGGTCCTCAGCCCTCAACGTCCAGCGCATGAGAAATCATGTCAGCCTGACCTGCAGGAGACACCTAGAATTCCACATGTCCCTTGTGTCACCTTGGCTCAAGCCACACGCCCGTCACTGCAGAAGCAGCATCCAGACCAGCCCCGACCTCACGGGAGCCGCAGCCCTCTCCCCCTCCCCCTACTTGTGCTCTTCCTCCCCTGTTCTGGACCCTCCACCCCACCCCTGCGGATCTAAGGCTGCTTGCAAGCTTTGTCTTTTGCGTGGCCTTTCCTTTGGTTTTCTCTATTCTGCAGGCAAGCGAGAGCTTCTGGTCCTGCTGCAGGGTTCATTCCCCCGGGGCTGCGGGCGCTCACGGGTCTACCTCTGCTTCGCCTCTCCCGGCATAGGCTGCAGCCCCGGCCCAGCAGACCTTGGTTGGACTCACTGCTCCGTCCTTGGCCCTAGGGCAGTGTAGCTAGTGGCGTGCGTGGCACTGGATTCGTGCTGAAAATATACTCGTTGAATGAATTAGTGAGTAAAAAAAGGGACCTTCTTTGTGGCACCAGCACCTGCGTGCAAATGATGGGGCACCCCGGCGCCCCCATGCTGCTGGACGCTGGCAAGTGCGTGGGTACTGAGCTAGACCAGGCCTTGGCGCACAGCGACTGGCACGGCTTAAACGGAGTTACACTGAGGCCTGCGCCGCCACCCGCCGCGGGCGTCAGCCCTAAGCCCCACCTCAGCTCCCCACAGGCTGCAGGCGGCGGGGCTTCCCCGGAGGTGTGGGGTGGCGTGTCCATGTCTGGGAGCTTCCAAGCCCGGGCTTTGCACACGCTGCTCCTCAGCCTTCGCCTGCGCGGCTTCCGGCTCCCCGTGCCAGTGTCCCCGCCTGACGCCTGGGTGAGCCCCGAGGTGGCTAGTGAGGAGGAGCGGGCGGAGGGCGAGGCCAGCCCTGGCCGGGCTCTAGCCGGGCCTGTGACGGGAGGGCGCGGCCATTGCGCAGCTGCTGCCGGGCGGCAGTGTCCACCCCCGGGTCTGCGCTCCTGGTTTCCACACTGCTCGAAGCAGAAAATCACAAAGAAACAGAGCTTCTAGAAGTGTGTGTGTGTGTGTGTGTGGGGGGGGGGGGGAAAAACCTTCTTTGCCCTCGTCTCCCATGAGACACACGGGGAGGTACTTCCCCGGATTCTGCCTCCTCTGTGGGCCTTCGTGGTGTCCTGCGTCTCCCGGGCCCCAGGCCGCTCACCCTGTCCACAGCAGCCTGCACAGCAGGCGGGGGGGCACGGAGGTGGGGAGGGGAGCGGGCATGAGGGGGTGGGGTGGGGTAGGAGAGGAGACACCTGCAGAGGGAGCAGCACTGCGGAAAGGTAAGCTTCCCCTCCCCCTTCCCCCTTCCCATGTCCTCCTGCAGCCCTGCACGTCCTCACTCGCTCCCCACCCTTCCCGTCTGTCCTGCTCGCCCTCCCTCTCCTCCGCCCCCCCCACCACTTCCTCGTGCCTTCCCTCTGTCACCCTCCCTGGGCCCCGACACCCCACCTTCCCTCTCCCCGCTCCCCCCTCCTGTGCCCTGCTTCCTCCAGTCCTCCCCTTTCTCCCCATCCCTCCCCATCCCCTTCTCCCCCACCCTTCGGCCCTCCTCTTCCTCCTCTAGCCCCTCCTCCCAATCCACTTCCTTCCGCTCCCCTGCCCACCTGCCCTTCCTCCCTCCCTCCCCTTCCACCATCTTCCCAGCCCTTCCTCCTCCTCCCTTCTCCCCTCGCCTCCTCCCTCCACCCACTCCTTCTCCTCCCCGGACTCTCCATCCCTGCCTTCCCTCCACCCTCCACTCCTCCGCCTCCCTCCCGCCCTCTTCTTTCCCGGCCACTGGCCACTGGCCGAACCCCTCCTACCCCACCCTGGTCTTTCCCACCTTCCCTTTCCACCCCCCTCCATTCCCACCGCCTCCTTCTGCCCTCCCTCCCCACTTCTTCTCCATCTCTCCCTCTTCCCACCCATTCCTCCTTGTCCTCCTTCCACCATCTTCCCCTCCCCCCCTTCCTTCCTGTCACCTCACTCTCCTTCCTTCTTCCCTCCCCTCCTCTCTGCTCTCCCCCGCCGCCTTCCCCCTTTCTTGCCTTCCCCCACCACCTTCTTCCCCGCCCCTTCCCTCCCCTCATCTCCCTGCCCTTCACCCCTTCCCCTCCGCTTCCTCCTTCCCGCCCCTTCCTCCTTTATTCCACTTCCTCCCTTTGTCCCCACCTGTCTGCCATCTTCCTTCCCCACCTCCTGCCCTTCCTTCCTTCCCTGCCCCTTCCTGCACGTCCTCCGCACTCCTCCTCCTTCCTTCCCATGACCTCCCCTCCTCCCTCCTCCCCACCCCTTGCTTCTTTCCACCTCCTTTGTCCTTACCTGCTGCCCGTCTTCCCCCTCCCCTCCCCTCTAACCCTCCCTGTTAGCCTCCGCTCCCCTTCTTCCCCTGCCCTCCTCCTCCCCCACCTCTTCCTCCGTCCTGTCCCTCTCTCCCCTCCCATCTTATGCTCCCCTCCTCTCCCCCTTCCATTTCTCTCCCTGCCCTTCTACCCCACCCTTCCCTCCTCTGCCTCCCGCATCCCTTCCCTCCTTCCCCCCCATGACATTCCCCCTTTCATCCTCTCCGCTCCCTCCCTCCCCCCACCGCTTTCCTGTTTCTCCCCTAGTCTTCCTCCTTATCCCCTTCCTCCCCTTTCCCTTCCCCCACACCCTGCCCCTTCTTTCCTGCCCTCTTGCCTCCTTTCTCCCCCTTCCTTCCGCAGCCCCTGCCAGCCTGGAGCCACCTTCTTCCTCACCCACCCGGCCCTCTTTATCCCTTTGTCCCTTCTCTTCTGCGCCTTTCCCCGCTTCCTCCTCACCGCCCGCCCTGCCGCCTCTCTTCCCCTTGTCTGTGCCCCTTGCTTCCCCCCTGTCAGCAGCCCTCACCTCTCCTTCCCCGGCTGCTCTTTCCTCCCCTTGTCTGCTCCCTCACGTCCTTCCCCCCCTTCCTTCTGTCCCTCCCCTTTCTCCCTTGTCCCCTTGCCCTGCCTTTTCCCTCCTACCCCTCCCCTTCCATCCCTTGTCTCCCTTCCCCTTATTCCCTCCCTCCTACCCTCCCTCCTTCATCCACTCCCCTTCCACCCCGCCCCTCCCTTCCCCTCCCCTTGCACCCCTCTGACCCTCCCTCCCCCACCTCCCTTCCTCTTCCTCACTCCCCACCCTAATTATCCCCTTTCCCACTTCTCCAATTCCTCCTTCGTTCGCCCACCCTGCCCCTTCTACCCCCTCCTCCCTCCCTTCTCCTCCACAGCCCTCTGCTTCCCCCCTTTTACCCTCCACCCCCTCCTCTCATCTACTCTCTACCCTTCCCCTCCCTCTACCTCCCACCCCTCCCTGCCTTTCTCCTTCTCCCCTCCCCCCTCTCCCCTTGGCCCTCCCTTTTCTCACTTCCCCTTCCTCCTCCCTTCCTTTCATCCCGCCTATTCCCTTTCTCCCCTCCTCCCTGCTTGGCCCTCCTACCCTCCCCTTTTTCCTTTTCCCCTCACACCCTTCTGACCCTCCCTGCCCCTCGTCTCCCCTTTCTCACTTCCTCCCCTCTTCTTCCCCTTCCCTTCATCCCTTTTCTCCCCTCCCTTCCTCCCCTCCCCTTCCTCCTTCCCATTCCTCCCCTCCTCCCCTTCCTCCCCCCTCTCATCGTCCCCTTTCACATGTCTTCTCCAGTTCCTCCCTTCTCCCCTTTCCCCCATCCCCTCCGTCCCTTCCTCCCTTCCATCCCTTTTCTCCCCTCCACTTCCTCCCTCTCTTCCCCTCACTACCCGCTCCACCCACCCCTTCCTTCTCCCCTTCCTCCCATCTACCGCTCCCCTTGCGCCCTTTTCGCACTTCCCCACCCTCTTCCCCTCCAGTTTCCCCCCTCCCCCTTCTTCCCTGCCACCCCTCAGCTTCCCCCCTTCTGACCCCTTTTCCTCACTTCCACCCTCTTCCTCCCAGTCTTCCCCTTCCCCACTTCTTCCCCTCCCTTCCTCCAGCTCTCTGCTTCCCCCCTTCCTCCCCTCTACCCCGCCCCTTCCATCTACCTCTCCCTTCTCCCCTCCCCTTGCACCCTTCTGACCCTTTTACTCACTTCCCTCCCCGCCCTCTTCTAATCTACCCCTTCCCCTTCTTCCTTCCCCACTCTCCCCTCCACCCCTCTTGCCCGCCCTTCCCTCATCCCTTCCCACTCCTCTCCTCTCCCCTTCCCTTTATCCCTTCTCCCCTCACACCCCTCTGACCCTCCCTCTCTCCCTGCCCCTTCCTCACGCCCACGCGGGTCCTCCCTTCTTGCCCTTCTCCTTGTCCCCTCCCTTCTAATCAGCCCCTTTCCCACATCGTCCCCTCCCCTCCCTCCTGCCCCTTCCTCCCTCCACCTTCCTTCCTTCCTTCCTCTCCCCTTGTCCCTGCCCTGCCAGCTCCCCTCTTCCTGTCCCCCTCCAGTCCCGGGCCTGCCTCCTCTCTTCCCCTTTCCACCGCCCTCTGTTTCCTCCCTGCTTGCCCACCCCTGTCCTCCCTCCAGCCCCACCCTTGCCCTGCCCCTCCTCTTCCCCACTTCCTTCTCCCCACCCCTTCCTCCTTTCTGCCCCACCCCTCCTGCCTTTGGGGGGGAGGGGCGTTCTCTCCTCTGCTCCCTTTGCTTCCCCACCCCTTCCTCTTTGCCCTCCCCTTCTGCCCATCCCCTCTTCCCCTGCCTTCCTTCCCCTCACCTCCCTTTCCTCCCCTCCCCTGCCCTCTCTTCCCTCCCTTTCCGCCCTCCCCTGCCCCTCACTTCCTCCTTCCCCAGCCCCTCCTCAGTCTTCCTCTGGCCCCTCCCCTTCCTGCTCTCACCTTCCCCTCCACTCCCTTGTTCTTCCTCCGCCTCCCTCCCCCTCTGTTCCTTCCCTTCCTCACTTCTTCCCCAGTTCCTCCCTTCTGCCTGCTTGCTCCTCTCACCCTCCCTCCCTCTGCACCCATCTTCCCCTTTTCGCCTTCCCTTTCCCCCCCTTCCGCCTCTTCCCTCCTGGGCCTCCTTTTAGCTTCCCCCCTTCTGCACTCTCACCCTTAACCCCCTTCCCAGCACCTCCTCCTCCCTTCCTTCCCCACCCCTTCTTCCTTTATCCTGCTTTTCCCTCCTTTCCCTCCCTCTGTCAGGGGGAAGGATGTCCTGAGCTAATCCCATGCAGGCTTTGCCGACCCCACCCCCACCCCAGACCAAAGCCCTCGGGACCTTGGGAAAGACACATCCCGTCACCACCCAAGGGAAGGTGGCTGGGACCTGAGGGTGGAGTGAAGCAGCCAGGTTGGGTATCAAACCAGACACGTGGGCCTTGGTGTCTCTCGCTCTGTCGCTCCCCTCCTGGCTTCACGGCTCGTGACCAGCTCTCAGAGGGCCATTTGGGCTTCCAGGTCGGTGGATCCCGTAGGACGCAGCATTTAAGACTTTGTCTCCCACTTTTCTCCCTGAGGTGCACATTTCCTCAATTCCCCTTCCCTTGTGAATAAACCTTTTATGAACCTTTTGTGTGTGCCTGCAGCGGGGTATTAAGTCCCTTTTAAGCGCCGGGTGAGGACCCACAGTCAGGCACCCCGTTTTGGATGGGGCTGCCCTGTAGCACCTTCTCCCCTTGATTCTTCCCCTGCCCTTCCTCCCTCTTCCTCTGTCCCCTCCCCCTCCCATCCCACCCCCTCCCTTCCCTGCTGACCTTTTCTCCCTCTGCCCCGCCCCTTCCTCCCCACCCTTCCCTCCTCTCTGTCCCCTCCCCTTGCACCTTGCCCTTCCTGCCACACCCCTTCTCACCCTCTGCCTCTTTCCCCCTCCCCTGTCCCCCCTTCTGGTCCTCACCCCTCCCTTGGTTCACTTCCTCTCCTCCCTCCCCCTCCCACCCCTTCCTCACTTCTTCCCTCCCTCCCCTCTACCCCTTCTCCCCCCTGCCTTCCCTCCTACCCCACCCATTCTTCCCCACCCCTTGTTCCCCTCCCCTTCCCACATCCTCTCCTTCCTCCATTCTTCCCTCCCCCATTTATTCCACCCCCTCTGCTTGCTTCTTCCCGGCCACTCCTCCCTCCCCCGCTTTTGCCCTCCTCTTCCCTCCACTACAGTTCTTCCCCGGCTTCCTCTCCCCTCGGCCCTCCCCTCCCTTTCTTCTCTCCCCTCCCCCCATGCCCATCCTCCCTTCTTCCTGCCCACCCTCCTTCCTCCAGCCTCAGCTCCCCTTCCCCCTGCCCTTCCTTACCTGCTCCTGGCCCTCCTCCCTTCCGTCCCTCCCCTGCCCTTGCTCCCTGCTTCCCTGTCCCCGCCTCCCCCAGCCTCTCCCCTTCCTTCCTTCCTCTCCACGCTCCCCTGTCCCCCCTCGCCCTCCCTGGCGCCCCCCCCCCCAGGACGTGGGAAAGAAGGCCAGGCGGCTGTGAGACGTGCTGACAGTGGCAAATACCCGTTTCCTCACTGCTAGCTGTATTATTTCATGCGTCTGCATCACTTTTTTAATACCCCGCCCGTCTACAGAGCGTGTTGTTCGGGTGGACAGCGCTTAGGAGAAAGCAGCAGCGACACCATCGTCTCCTCTTGGGCAGAAATCTGTAAACCATCTTTGGCGCTATGATGAGTTGAGACAAAAAGCAAGGCCACGCGCCCCCACAAAGTAGCAAACGCGGGCCTCTCTGCTAAGCGGGTGCCTCTTTACCGATTACTTCACGAGTGAGCCACCCAATCCTAAAATGAGCCCCTCTCAGACACCAGTCTAGGGCAAGGTCCACTGTTCTACATTCTTTATAAAATCCTCACCCGCCAAGCCCGGAAAGTGGGTCTTTCTGACACCCCCGTTACTAAGCCCCCACCTCCACCCCCGTGTTTCTCGTGGTGCAGGTGTGCATCATCCCCTCCACGGCGGCGAATGATTCCCGCGGGCCTGCAGACACAGCCATGCAAGCTCTGACAGGCTAGAAGCCTGAAGGACACTGATGGCCGTGAACTTTCTGGTCTTTCCCTCCCTCATAGACGCAGATCCTGAGACCCTCCTCACCCTATCTTGTCAGGCACCCCTGGACTGTCAAAGCAAGTTACCGAACTGTGGGGGGTCATATATTCTCCACTGTCATAGGAGATGTCCACTTCTCTGGGAACAAAAATAATACCCAAGTCTAACTCTGCCCCTGCCACAGGTGGATGGGGTGGCTGCTGAGCAGCAGGAGGGAGGGGAATGGAGAAGTGACAGGATCCTGGATTACGAAATCCAGGACTCAGTCTCAGGACATGCCCGGCACCCAAGCCTGAGCGCCAGCACGCCGGCAGTAGGGGCTGAGGGTGATGCCAGCTGAAGAAGCTTGTGTTTCCACACATACACTCACCAGCAGCCATCTCCACGGCCGGCGCCCAGGACAAGTCACGTTGCCTCTTCCACCTGGCCTCGCCTTTGCTCCTAGCACTGCAGGTGCTTTGGCCTGCCTATTTCATGCTCTCTGCGCAGCTTCCCGGAGGGCCACTGAGCATTGTCACACCGGAGGGGAGTCCGCTCCTTTCTAAACACAACCTTTCCTGTGTTCGCCAGCTTCCTGACAAGTCTTCCTTGGGCCTGCCAGAGCACCCTGGCCCTCTGCTCCCCACTGGGGTTTCTGTGCACATGTGCTGTGGTCGCCTCACACTGCACATCAGAGGCTGACCTCATCTGCTTGATGGGGAGCTACCTGCCCTGCTCCTGTCTGCCCCCCCACCCCACCCCGCCCCCGCACTCAGCCCTGGCCTGGCTCCTAGGACAACCCTGGTGCAGTGCTGAGGAGCAGTTGTCCCCTTCACCACTCCCCCGAGGAAGACACTCTCTTCCTCCTAGGCAAGACTCTTGGGTTGTCAGGTTACCTGCTGCTCTCTGCTGTGAGCGGCTACGAAACCTCCTCAGTTCTTCCTAGGCCCCGGCTTACCCACCACCCCCCTCTCGCCCCGGGCTGTCACGGCAGCCTCCTCACCCACGCCTGTGCTGCAGTCCAGCCCTCCTGGTCGTCGCGAGGCGCCGCTGTCCTAAAGCCACTGGCTGTGCCTCCTCAAACTGTCAGGGCTTCCCAGAGCTGTGAGGGTGTCGTCAGTACCCAGGGCGCTTGCCTGCTCTCATCCTCATGGGCCCGCCCCACGTTTGCAGTTCCCTGAGTATCTGCCTCCCTGTTCTCCACAGTCCCGGCATCTCCTCCACGTTCTTCAACATCCACCCTCGCGCTGCCCAGGGACCCTTCTCTCACTCTGTGGCCCTGGGCCTGGGGAGGCCTGTCTCCGCAGCATGCCCGCGCTGTCCTGTCCCCATGTCCTGTCTGCACAGCTGTCTCCATTCCCCTGTGGGGGCCGGGAACCCACCTGTGCACCCTGGCCCGCCCCTCGGGTTCCTGTGTGCCGCAACCACCCAACGAAGGAATGAGTTAAGCTCTCAACCTCCTGTCTCCCTTCCTTAGCCCTGGGGCGCATCTGGAAGCACCCCTCAGGGGCCAGTGGGCTGAGGCAATCCAGCAGTGCGTGTGCTGACAGGCGGGCCTGGAGGACCGTGTCTGTGTGGTGGAGAAGCCGCGCTGGCGCAGACACTTACGTAGCTCATGAAGATCTTCTCCGTGGGCTTGAGGTGCCTCTGGATCTCACAGTCCGCGGGGTGGAGGCTGATGATGCCGTCATCGGAGAAGACATAGAACATGTTTCCCACGCTGAGGCCTGGGAGGAGGACACACAGCGGTGGTGCCCCTGCTCGCAGCCGCCCCACGGGGGACTCCCCATCAGGCACACACTCAAGCTGCCGTTGGGTGCATGTCGCGCAGGCCCCAAGTGCAAGTCCTGCTCAAGGTGGGGAGAGGCCAGGGGAGTAGAGGGTGTAGGGGAGCAGGGGAGGCTGGAGCTTCAATCCAGCAGATCGAGGGCTCTAGTCCCAGGCCGTGCGCACAGCCAGCCCTCTGCCCTGAGCCATCCAGGTTGGCCCCCATGCGGGTTTCAGATAAAAGACCTGGCTCTGGCTTACGTTCTGCCTTTTCTCTTCTGAACAGCAGAGTCTCCCCAGTTGGTGTCTGTCCACTAGTCAAGTTAGAGTGGGAGAGACAATGCCCCCAAAGCAAAGGCTCTTGTTTTATAAACACATTTATGTATAGTGTCAAGCTCTAGAGTGTGGGGTCCTAAAAACGCTGGGGCTAACAGACTGGTCCAAAATTAGTCTAGGCCTGTGGGGGTCCTGGTGAACCCCTCCTTTATAAGAGCTCACTGCAGCCTCTGCCCATCGGTTTCTCTGTGGCAACTCCATGCCAGGCAGCAGGGTGTGCCCTGATCGTACTTCCACTGCCCTCACCCCCCCCACAGCTGTGCTGTTCTGGGGAGGGATTTCATCCTAGCAGAGGAGGGACCCGGGAACCAGCTGGCCCTTACTTTAAAACAAGGAAACCAGCAACATGGATGGAGCTGGAAGGGACCATGCTCAGTGAAATAAGCCAGAAAGAAAAAGAAAAATATCGGATGGTCTCACTTACTGGAGGAATGTAGAGGATCCACATAAGGGATCAGGGAAAAAAAAAATATAATCAAAATTCACAGGCAATTATCAACCACAGACATTTCTGCAAGGGGGGGAGAAGGGAGTAGGATCAAAACAGGGGTGAGGGGCCTCCCCTGGTGGCGCAGGCAGTTGAGCACAGCGCTGGTTCCATCCCGGCCGGCCGGGGAGAATCCCACATAGCGTGGCAGACCTCCTGTCTCGCCCGCTGCTCCCCTCAGCAGTGTATTTTGTCAGTCTGCCTGTTCTGTTCCCCACTCTGTCTCTGGTGAATCCTCTCACCCCCCACACCTCTGGCCTGTACCCCAGTTCTTGTATGCATAATATAAATAAATCTTAAAAAAAACAACCAAGGGTGAGAAGAGCACAAGGGACCATGGTGACAGTGCACAGGAGAATGGGGGGTGGGAATGTCACGGGGACTATAACCAAGATGAAAATGCATACATTGTACAAAAATGAAACATGCTATAAAAAATATATAAAATAATTAAATAAAACAAGGAAACTGAGGCCCACAGAAGGGAGGAGCTTGTCTGTAGACACTTGCTTTTGTGCCCAAGCCGGAGTTACACCCTGCACCCCTGTTCTGGGCCCTGTCCCACACTTTTTCCCTCCATAAAGGCAAAGCAGTATGTCCAGAGCTCTCCCTCCACCTGCCCTCCTTCCTTCATCTGAAGGTGGAACAATTCTATAAAGTCTAAGAAAATTAAATATGTGGAAGACTCTTTCCTAGCATGCTGAGAAAACTGGCATACTGATTTAATCGACTACTTGGGGAAATTTTTAGTGAGTTAGAAAACACAAGGATGGGAATCACTTCCATTTGCTTCTACTGTCTCTGCAGGCAGCTGTCTGGGCCTCAGGCCTTGGGGACTGGGAGGCACTGGCACCGTGGCTCCCAGTAGGCTGAGGGCCCTGCCTGTACTACCTGCCCCCCCCCCCCCCCCCCCCCCCCGATTCCATGCAGACGGGCTCAGGCAGGAAGGCTCCTGCCGCTGTAAACAGCTTGACCCAGACTCCCAGAAGCTGGGGAGTTCTGCATAGCCCCAGTGGTATCCTGGGGTGCTGGGCAGCCTGTCCTCAAGAGCCAGGCAAAGATGGCTGCCCTCCAGCACTTCGTCTCGGTTCCTAGGGCACCTAGCATTTGCAGATGGGTATGGCATGCGTCTTTGCTCTGACCCCTCTATCTTGCCCACAGCAGGGCCTCCTCTTTGACACTCTCACCTGGCACACTTCCCTCATTCACTTCTAGAGGGGAAAGGGAATCAAAGACCCCGTGACACCAGAACAGCCTCCCAGGGTTCCTTGGAAAATCCATAGCTGGAAGTACCAACACAAGATTGAAAGCATAATGGAATCCACATGGGGTTTGCAGCTGTGGCTACCTATGGGCTGAGCACGGGCCTTGCTTGCAGTCAGCAGTGGCATGTGAGGCTCAACATATTCGTTTAACAAATAATTGACTTCATGACCCAGCCCCCTAGAGAGTTGTCTGAGTTTAGCTGCTTCTAGGGGGCACAAAGGATTCTTTGCTTTTGTCTGTTCTCTTCATATTTCTGCTATTGCGCCTGGACAGTGGGGCCTGCCACTGTTTTTCCTTCCTAACTCCAGGCCCTGAGTTTGAGCACACAGGGGTCTGCGTGTCTAGCAGGCACGGCGTTTTTGGTGACTGGATTGTGCAATATGAGCATGGCACCTGCCAGCCCTAAGGGGCTGTGGGTCTTAAGTGAGAGCCTGGGTCTCTGTGTCTGCATTTTATACACCACAGGGACACCTCATTCTTTGCAGGACTCGACTTCTGAAACTTAAGTCCCTTTGCAGTAGCCTCACCTTAGAAAGATACCACCCCACAAAGATGGGGAGCAAAAGCCTTCTGTGGGCATCATGGGATTGGGCAGCATTGAGGACAACTGTCCTTGATGCTATGACACCTTCTCAGCTCCTTTGCGCCTGCTGGCAGCAGCCTTGTGTTCTGGGCTGTGCCTGTTTTGCTCCCATCTTTGTGAGCTTTACTGGCTGGATCTGGGCATTGCTCGGGGATGTATCTGTGTGCATGTGCCAGAGGCCATGCCACAGAGTTATGGAGGAAAAATAGGGCAGGAAAATGCTGTTTTTTAAAGGGGGAGATTGGGCCTCCCTGGTAGTGCTGGTAGTTGAGCACTGCACTGTGAAGCTGTCCGCAGCCTCTGCAGTGCCAGTTCGATCCCCTCTGGCTGGGGAGAAACCCACATGGCACGGCAGACCTCTCTTGTCTACCTCGCTGCTCCCCTCAACAGTATATTTCAGTCAGTCTGCCTGTTCTGTTCCCCGCTCTGTCTCTGGTGAATCCTCTCACCCTCCCACACATCTGGCCTGTACCCCGGTTCCTGTATAATAAAAAAAAAATAAAGGGGGAGATTTCACACTTAACTCTGAAATCAGCATTTACTCTAATATTTCTCAGAAGCCCCTCTGCCCCCTGAACTGAAGGTCTTTTCTCATAGCAGTTCTGCATTGGTAGACTCTGTTCAGAATCAGAGTTGGGGTACACATGTGTACATGACCCCTGTGACCCGCCCCCACCTCGACCCACCCTGGGAACCATATGAAATGGTCAGTATCAGAAACCGCACTTTTGTCTGGCCCAATCTAGAGATTGTTAGATAAACAGCATTTGTCCAAACCCTTTGCAAAATTCTGACACCAAAATCAGCTGCTGGAAGAATGTTTACGGGCCAGCTCTGACCAGGAAGCCCTGCCCAGTGGTTGCCCAGAGAAGATTTCAAACAGCTTTAAATGGAAATATCCTATTTTTAAACACTCATGGACTAGTGTCCATGAAAGACACAGGTGGGTTTGGAGCCTGCTTCTCAGCGTTGGCACTGGGGTCTGACATTAACCTCCGCCCCCATACGGTGTGGCACATGGACCCCTCTCGGGAGGCTGCTTGGTGTCTGGGAAAGCTGGTGGCCCATGGAAAGATGCCCATTAGGGCACCACGAACACTCACGATCACAGGCAACACAGAACAAGGGAGCTGGTACCTTCCTCTCGCCACAGAATGTTTGCAACTGCAGCAGCAGCGTTGAGAGAGCGGGAGCATGGTGGAAGGAGGAAAAAGAAGAAAGCCATGTCAGAGCCTTCACTGTGCCATTCACTTCATGCCCAGACTCTGTCTAGTCTGCATTTATACAACCTGTACCCTCGCTGCCCCAGTGACTGGACTTGGGGTGGTGGGGGGACTCTGGCTATAGACAAATGCTCCTAGGTCTCAGGATGCATCTTTGAAGCTACACCCCAGTATCAGCTAATGGGGCTCGCCACATTCTTGGGTAATAAAGAGTAGACAGCTGTCTCCCCTCCCAGGAGAGCGCTGGTTTTCAGTTAGGATTCTCCTACACCCGTCATCTTTGCCTGAGGGAGAGAGACCCGTGACCAACATGACGTCCATGAAGTCACACGTGGGCCCCCTTGGGACGCAACAGCTGCGAGGGGAGCAGACCCAGCCCACCGGCTTGGGAGGAGAGATGCCCGTGCACTTGAGCCAGGGCAGTTCCTGGGCCACGGTGGCGCGGCAGCACTGGAGGGCAGGTAGGAGGAGGTGGAATCTTATGAACAAAAAGTAGGAGGCAGAATTGAGGCTGGGATGGTTGAGCTTCCCGGGATCCTGGGCTCTGTCTGCATTTTCCAGAGTTTAGGTGGCCAGGAAAGGCCTGCTCACCTCTGGGGCCCCCGTCCCTAGTTTGTGCAGGAAAGGGTAAGGGTTCCCACTGTCTTCAGGAGATCATGATGGGAGGGGGTGGCCCCAGTCAGTGGGTTCTCTTTGCCCCCAACCACTGCCAGTCAGCTCACTGAGCAATAAAGGCCAGCGTGGACTCACGGGTCTTTCTAGCCGAGTCTTCGATGAAGAGCGAGGAGATATCTTCGTCCACTCCCACTTCGTTTTTGGCAATGCAGGTGTACGCCCCTGTGTCTTCGTACCGGACGCTGCCGATGTGCAGCTCGCTCCCATTGGCTGCAGAGGACAGCGGTCAGGGCAGCCTGCTCAGTGGGAACCTCTACTCCTGCCCTCCGGTCCCCTTCCCCGGGCTGTCGAGAGCGTGCGGGTCAAATACACCAGGGCAGGGCTGAGGGCAACCACCACCCCCGACGGGTACCGGGCAGGCTAGGACAGCTGACCCTGACTGAGCGAAACCTGGGATCCAACTGGCAGCTAAAGCCCTCCAGACCTGTGTGGGCCTGGGCAGCAGAAACATTTGGGCAGACACTTGCTTCCCCCCAGTATGTCTGACTTAGAAATAAGCCGCACCGCGCCTCTCCCGTGCCGGGGTGATGGTACCGTGCGGTCGTGGGAGTAGCACACGGACGCCGAGGGCAGGTCTTACCTAAAAGGGAGAGCTGTTTAGACATCTGGGTGGAGACATCCATGCCATTCTTCAGCCATGTGATTCTGGGCATGGGAATGCCCTCTGCGTGGCATCTCAGGCTGGCCGCCACCCCGGGCTCCTGGGCCTGGGTCTCTGGGTAGACGCGGATGACCGGGGGCACTGCGGAGAGAGTCAGCGCCGGTGAGAGGCAGCCCCCGCCTGGCCTCGGGCCTGAGCTCCAACCCTGAGACCCTGCTCCCGAGACGTGGGCCCGAGAGGCCACCTGGAATGCTTTGTGAGCGGCGCACAATCACCCTGTTCAGCAACTCAAGTCCCAGAAGAAAGGGCGATAAAGTGGATTGTAGGCAATAAACATGTCAGGCTTTGTACTCTGTAATTCATGGCCTTCATCATTATTCTAAATATGATCAGAAAGACATTGAAATATTTAATGCTGTTCAGCTGTTACATGTGAAGAGCAACAGCTACTGGAATTTATTTCTGGATGCATAAAATTCAGATATATTATTTCCGTTATCGGAAAGTCATTGGACGGGGGCTTAATTTCTTGCAGGAAGTGCTTCACAGAGCACTTATGGGCACTGACTGGCAGGGCTACTAATTACATCACCGCTCTGGGAAGGTCTGTTGGTTTTGCAGACCTGTCTATTTACTCCCCCACTTCTCAGCCCCTGGAACGCGGCTGGGAGGCAGTGTGCGCCATCCTCGGCTCTTGACACGCCCATGGCAGCTACGTTCGGGGCTGGGTTGTAGCCTGGCCCACCCATCAGATAAGTGTGGGTGGGCAAGACTTCAGCACCCTCCTCACTGCGAGGGCCTTTTTAGAGAGGCCCTATTGGGGAGGGACCGGGAAGAAGTGAGGACTGACTATGGGGTCTCCTCCTATGCGTAGCTCTGGGCCCAGCAAATAATGATCATTTCAGAGGCATTAAGGGATCTCATTTACTGATACGTTTTGCTCTACACACTCCCCAAAGAGATTTGTGACAGCTTATTTAAAAGCACCTATATACTAAACAAAGCCATCACACACCTTCTAGAAAGGTGAGAGATGGAACTACTGAATCACATTTTCCCAGTATTATCTGGAAGCGCGTTCTGTCTGATGAAAGAAAACAGCCCAGTGCTTTAGGAGAGAGATTTTTTTGGGAACGGAGAAAGCACGGCTCTCGAATGCTGATGTAGGAGGTGGCCAAGGTGCCAGTCACGCGCCTAGAATGAGTGACCTGTGCTTGAGTGGGCACAGAAGAAAACCCACATGGCTTCATTGTGGGGAATGGGCTGTGCAAATGAAAAGCCCCAGGAGGTTGCTAACAGTCTGATCAACTCTGAGTTGCAAGTCTTTCCTCTGGTTGACCTGTGGGGCAAAGTTGGGTGGCAGAGGAGAAAAACCCCAGGGAGAACTGGAAAGTCATGAGCCCACCATCAGGATGGCTGGAGATGGCTTCCGAGAGCCCCGTGCCGCACACCCAGAGACCTGACAGCGGTTATGTCACAGCTGCGGCCCAGTTCCTCCTCATCAGTCATTCTGGAGGGAGAGGACCAGGGGGTGGCAGAAGGTGCTTGTCCCAGATCAGACCACTGAGGATGGGTGGTGGATGGGGCTCTACTGCAGCAAATGGAAGGGCTGCTTAGGACGTCAGAATGGCTCTCCTTTCTCTGACTTCCTTTCGTTCAACGAGAAAAGAAACAGGAACTTATCCAGGAAACTTCCCTACAAACTGCAGTTGGTAGAGGGAAGAGCAGGGTTTAGGATGAACAGATAGTAGAAATTTGGTCAGGAACCTGTAATTAAAGAGCAGAGACAGAACCGGGGGGGGGGGCACCACTCACCAATGGCTAGATCCAGTAAGAAAATGAACAAATCCCCCATTTAGAAAAGGACAAGATAAAGGAAAAGCGAGGAAATTATGAGAAACATCAGACTCCACTAGAAGAGAAAATAAATATGGACACAATAGCCTTAAAGAATTAGGGGGATTCTACCCACAAGTGGTGGAATGGAGAAGTTGGAATAATCCTCTCCCTAAAAAAAACAAAAGACAAACTGGGTGGAAAATAATATTTGCATAGAGAAAGATCCTGCTGCTCCATCCTCTATAGAACCCCAGGGCCTCACCACAGAGATCTCAAACTAAGGCTGGTAGTTTGAGGGAGGCAGCAGGAGGAAGTGCGGGGATCATGACTGGGGTAGAGTAGATCTCCCAGCTGCCAGGATGGGCTGGGGTTGACCACCCAAGCCACGATGGGGCAGAGACAACCTGGAGCAGTGTGAACTCTGTGGGCACAGACCTGGGAGATTGGGTACTCTGTGCACTGTCACCAAAATCTCCCTCTCCACACCCCACTCGGAAGAGCTCAAAGAGACGCCCGGTTTAGCCAGGCCAGACTCCATAAAAAGCCCAACAGCAGGGGGATGGACGTGCAGAGAACTCACGAATCCCTCGGGAAAGCAGACAAATGGTATGCAGATATGCAGCCTGCAGAAGTGCCAACAGAGATAGCGATGGGGCAGCGATGGCCACTGTTGAGTGCCATCTAGTGCACACCCACCACACACTCTCAGGCTCAGCACTGCCCGCCTGCCAAGAGTAACTGGAGTGTGAGCCTAGGGGTCCAGAACTACCTCCCCCAACCAGAGGACTCAAGTATTGTAGATTACGACGCACTGCAGAAAGCAGCAGCATGGACGTGGCGGGTGGTGGTGGTGGGGGTAGTTAAGGCAACATAAGTATAGAATACAGCTTGCTGAGGAATGAAAGAAGAGGAGGTAGTGGCAACCAACTTCACACCTCAAACAGATTGAGCATTAAAGCCCCAGATCCCCTTCCTGTCCCCACCTCAGACCAAGGTAAATTAAGAAGACAAACAAAACTGAATATCTAGTAACCCACCCCTACACCCACGCAGAGCGTGTAAGGTAACACTGATGCCTACAAAGCAAGAAACATCTCAACACAGATGCAAAAGCGAAATGAGACAGACAGAAAATCTGGGTCAAGCATAAAGCATACAGAAATAGATGAAGACTTCAAAACAATAATATTAAAAATGCTAGAAGAGCCACTGGAAGGTCAAAGGCAGAATGACAGGTATTAAGACCTTAGGAAGGAGATCCAGGAACAAAGAGTTCTTCACCAGAATTGGAAATGAAAGAGGTGAAATTACAGCAGCTATTATCGAAATATACAGGATCATATGAACCTGTTGTAAAAGTCTGTATGCTAACAAATTGGACAACCTAGAAGAAATGGACAGATTCATACACTCATACAACCTCCCAAGATTGAACCATGATGAAATAAGATAGCCTAAACAGTCCAATCACAAGTGTTGAAATTGAAAGAGTCATAAAAAGCCTCCCCAGAATAAAAGTCCAGGACCAGATCACTTCATGAGAGCCCTACCTAACCTATAAAGGTCTAATACCTACCCTACTCATACTCTTCAAAAAAAAAAAAATAGAAGAGGGAGGAAATCTCCCCAATACAATCTACAAAGCCAACACTGCCCTGATCCAAAGCCAAACAAAGATAGTACAAAGAAAATTATAGACCGATATCTCTGCTGAATGTAGATCCAAACATTCTCAACAAAACACAGCCAGCATCACACTCAATGGTGAAAATCTGAAAGTGCTTCCAATAAGATCAGGAACAATATAGGGATCCCCTCTGTCGCTGTTATCCAACATACTCCTGGAAGTCCTGGCTGAAGCAATTAGGCAAGAAAAAGACATAAAAGGGATCCAACTTGGAAAAGAAGTTAAACTGTCATTATTCACAGACAGCATGCTAATGTACTTAGAGAAACAAAAGTATTCTACAAAACACTTCTAGAAATAACAAATGAATACAATAAGGTTGCAGGCTACAAAAATCAATACACAATATCAGTGGCACTTCTACATGCAAATATTGTATCAGAGAAAGGGAAATAAGGAAATCAGGGAAAGAGAAATAAGGAATACAGTTCCATTTACAATCACACCAAAAAGAGTGAAATACCTGGAAATAAACTTAATGAAGGAGATGGAAAACGTGCAGAATGAAAAATATGAAATGCCATTAAAGGAAATAAAAGACACACAGAAATGGAAAAATATCCTGTACTCATGGGTGGGAAGAATATCATGGGAATGGCCATACTACCCAAAGCAATTTACAGATTGAAAGCAATACCTATCAAAATACCAATGACCTTTTTTTCCCCAAAGGAAATAGAACAAACAATTATAAAATTTATATGGAACCACAAAAGGCCCCAAATAGCCAAAACAATCTTGAGGGGAAAAAAAAAAAAAAGAAAAAGAAAAACGGAGGCCTCACACTTCTTGACTTCAACACAACATGGCAACAGTAATCAAAACAGGAAGGTGCTGGGACAAAGCCAGAGAGACTGACGGAACAGAACCGAAAGCCCAGAGATAAATCCATATGAATCTGGACAGCTACTTTTTGACAAGGGAATTACGGCCATGCAGTGGAGAATAGATCGCCTTTTCGCATGGGCACTTGGGGATGCACAAAGGGAATTAGACGTTGTAACACCCTGCTGCTGTTGGTGCCGCTGCTGCTGATTAGGAAAGAGAGGTTTGGAAAAGGGGCAAAAGGGAAATCTTTGGAGTTTTCACTGCCGGGGGTGAGGGACGAATGGAAAAGCAGTGCCATCAGGAACCAGTTCGTGTTGGACGGGAACAGGGGTGAGCATGGTGTTATTTAAAAATAAACTCAATTCTATTTGGGGCAATGTTCAAAAAAAAAAAAAATGGTGCTGGAAAACATGGATAGCCACATGTAAAAAAAATAAAGCAAGACCTGTATTTAATACCATGTCCAAAAATGGACTCAAAATGGATTAAATACCTGGACATAAGAACTTAAATCATAAAGTACTTGGAAAAAATATAAGCAACAAACTATATAACATCTTCCATAATGATATATTTGGGAAAACAACCCCAGCAGCAAGGGAATCAAAAGAAAAAAAAAAAAAAAAAGGCATGTGGGATTACATCAAACGTAGACGTTTTTATACCTCAAAAGAAACCGTTAAAAAAACAAAAAGGTAACGTATAGAATGGGAAAAATTTGCATATCTTACATCTGACAAAGAGTTACTCTCCACATTCATTTGAAAGGAAACCTGCACGCCTATGT